CGTCGCGGGGGCACTTTTGATCATTTTGGAAGGGAACTTTCTATCCAAGACTAAAAAGGGCATGTGCACTGCACAGGTTGAGCCCTGTGTGTGCACGTGCCTGCAAGTTGGGGAATAGGACTAATAATCAGTCATGGTTCATAATCAGCAGAAACACAGCACACTGTTCAGATTGATGCAGACATGAGATCTCTATCTCACTCATGGTTTGTCCTCTCAAGTGGGGGAAAGACAATGCACAACGTTACCCACTGCTGTCAACCTGGGCCAAGTCATATCTCTGTCCCAGAAACCTCAGTCCCAAATGAGAGGGGTTTTTTCTGTTGCAGGGGACATTGTAAATACCCAGAGATACCAGCTTTTACCAGATTATATTTATATGATAATTTTCCTTAAAACCCATCTCTATCTAAGTGAGTGAGTGATTAAATGTTGAATGAGATGAGTTTAACAATACTAAATTGAAACTTAATTTTTTGACATGGTTTAATATTTTTTTGTTATTAAAATTGAAGTTCCTGTTTCAAAGCTTACAGATAGATGACTAATTTGTATGTCATTGACACTTTTGGCACTTTTTTGGAGTATTTTCATAAGTTTTGTTTTTTCCTGTAAATGATTCAATAAATACCGTACCGTGACATTCATACCGAGGTATTACCGTATCGTGAAATTCTGATACCGTTACATCCCTAGTGGGCAGTCCTTTTGAAACTTTTGAATATGCTAATTGTTAGATAATCATACCAGTGGGCCTTAAATTCTAAGTCTACAATCTGCCACGCCTAGGGATCAAACAGGACAGAAAGCAGCCTTCCAATCATAAGTGATTAAGTTTTTATGTAAAAATCTTAGTAGCCTTATTAGTTTAAAGTGGCGCACTCCATAACAACAAATACTTGTTAGGAAACCACATCCAGGAGCAGTTAAACATTAAAACCCAGAAACCTCAACTCATTATAACCTTGTTTATATTAGTCAAACTTCTTGCAGTATTGAGTTGATGTCTGGTGGGTTATTAATGAATCGATGCTCCCTGAATAGGAGTTCTGCTGTGAGTCTTCTCAAATTAAATAGGTTTTCCAAATTTGGTTCAGAATTTCACTTGGAGTCAACATCGCAGGGCAAACTGAATGCATTAGAACCTCACAAATGTTTAACTGTGACGCCTTTCACTAGAAAATCATTTACACTTCTCAAACACAGCAGACAATTAGCTTAGTGACCAAGCTCAGTTCAAGGACTCTCTGACGACAACATACTCAATAGAGCAGTGCTATTTTAGAATTAATCAGTAGCAACTTTATTTGAATCCTGGAGAAGTTAAAACGTACACTTTCTTGTAATGGGGAAGAAGCGTTGGTGTGCAATGTGGTTTAGCATGTACTTCTGTTATTTAAAAAAAATCAGTTTTGCATGAGCCAGGACATTGGAGGAAGGGTTGTGAACCTACACTGGTCTCATAATTCGGTTCTGTTACGATTGTCATGTCATCGATTTGGTGAAATGCAATATCACGGTGCATCATCACTCTTTCCATGCAACCTTCAAAATTTTTATTTCATGAGAACACAATTGTGTCTTTCCATAAAGGCAGGCAGATTTATGAACTGAATCTTTAATTTTACTGTTCTGCTCAAAGAAAACAGACTTATTGAATGCATTAAACAAAACACAGAAGCCAAAAGAAGCATTTAGAACAAACACACACACTGTAAAATATACTTTTCTTCCTTAGATTTCTTTTGCCTAGTTTCTAGTCCAAATATCTCAAAATTCTTAAATCAAGAAGCATTTTCTAGTCAGGCAAAGCATATTGTCTTGTTTTAAGAAATAATATGCTAAAAATTAAGTGAGTTTTTTTCTTAAAACAAGCAAAAATATCTGCCAAAGCGATAAGAAAAATGATCTAGTTTTTCCATTTTTTACATAACATTATTTTGCTTACGCCATTTGCAGATTATTTTGCTTGTTTTAAGAAAGAACTCACTTAATTCTGGCATATTATTTCTTAAAACAAGACAATGGGCTTTACTTTAATGATCTAGGTGCAAAGTCTAAAGCGCATGGCGCAAAAGCGTGTCCGAATCCACTTTTGCTATTGTAAGGACGGAAAATGCACTTTGCGCCCTGACACATGGTCTAACCGGGTTGTGCTTATTCTCTTAATGAGTTATGGGTGTGTTATGGGTAGGCCTACACGGAATCTGCGCGCACAGATTTTCCGCAGATTTCCGCAGATTTTTAGCCCATTATTATTCTGTTTGTTTACTTTAGTAAATGTGTGAACCTATATTTATTCAGTTTTTAAATTAATTACAGAAATATTATTGACTAATGTGAAAATGTTCATCTGATTTATGTACAATGCAGTTTCTAAAGTATTATTTCTGTCTTTTAGTTTATTACATGATGAGAATCGTTTGTTCACCAAATAAAGTGAATCTAACTGGATTTGCATTTTAAACATTATATTTTTTAAATATATATTATTTTTTATTTCACATATTAAGATTTAGTTATGATACTACCAAAATAATCTCCACAGAAATGGCAAAAAACGTCCGCAGATTCCGTTTGGCCCTAGTTATGGGTGTGTTTTGAGCATAACATGCATTAAACCAATCAGAGTCTCATTCCCTTTAAGAGTCAGTTGCATCATGCCATGGCGCATTTGCTATTTAAATGGCGGACTTTGTAAGAGGAAAAACGAAATAAACAGTTAAACAGATCATCTGCGCGAGGATAAAAAATGGATCTCCTCCATTCAGCCTCTATAATTTCTCTTTACTTTACCTTTACTCTTTACTCCTTTACATTCGGTTTTGCAGCTTGAGGAATGAAATAGGGTTTCATTTTCTGATGTACCTTCAGTGTCCCAGCAGAGAATTGTGCATCATCAGTTTTCTTGTTGAAGGGCACCAATTATGCAAACATGACTTTTATATGGGGTTTAAACACAATTGTGTGGCAACAGTCTGTGAATATAACCAGCTTCTAATGGTAACTGATAAATTTTATTTTTTCACACTTCATATAAAAACAGTCTGCAGAAAGACTTGGATTGACATTCTTTCATTGTACATGTCATCAGAGGGGGAAAGTCCCACCCATTAGTGACAGTCTCTCCCTCATTAGCATAGGGCGTTTGTCTTGTTTTTTTTACATGTTGTGAAATTACTTTACATCTTGTGAAAAGGAACATAATAGGTCCTCTTTAAAGATACTTGTATTACTCGCACATGCATCTTGCCTTCCTTCCAAAGTATGCTAACGCAATATAGCTCATACACGATAAAGGGGACATTCTACCAGAAACATACATTTTCACTTATAAACAATTGTGACAGGGTCTGACCTTTAATCATGTCCTTCTCAAAAAAATTAAATAAAATAAAAAAATCTTACAAAACAAGCATAAAACCTTGAACACTTTCAGCTTCTCCTCCATCAAAAGATGTCACTACCTCTGAGTCATAGCCTCAAAAGTGTATTTCAGGCATTTTATATTAAATTTAATGCAAATGTGACAGGACTGACAGAAACATGGGGACAAATGTAAAATAGTATTTATTAGAAGTGATTTATAATTTCATGTTTTTAATCAATTAATGATAACAACCTAAACTTAGCTATTTCTAAAGTAATTTTTCCTTCTAATTAACAGTTTTTAGCACAACAAAACTATTAAAGCTATAAGTTCAATTGGGCTGAGGACAAGGACAATGACATGGTTTGTAATTAAAGTGTTTTATAAAGAAAAACTATCTAAGAACCAAATTAATCAGTTAAACTGCTGATATTTTAGGATTTCCGCCTGGATTTTGCCTACCTAAACTTAAAAGCTTCCCAAATCCACATGCAGAGGTGTAAATGCAAAAATTTGGTATCATTTTAAAGAAAACCCTTTGAATTCTCATAAAACACTATTGAAAGTGTTTAAAATAACTGTATATGTTGTCTGTGTTATAATAAACACCTAAAAAAAAGAGGCGCTTTTTGTATATTTTTTTTTTATGAACTCAAATTTGAAAGTGTACCTTTTAGGTTCTGTGTGGTCTAGCGTGCTGTTATAAATTTTGGTGGTTCCTGCACATGTCTGTAATCATGGGAAAAATGTCTCCACCATCATCTATGCAAAAGTTATTGTATTCCAACTGATGAGAGGTGCTATACAAGCCACAGGGACCGACCATTGTTTACATATTTCACTATGATATGATTCACTGTGTTTGGACCACATCAGATATACTGTATAAAAGGATTACTTATGAACATCACCTCAAAAACAGAGGAGAATGGCCCTGAAGCACACAGCATAAGGTAAGAGATGACAGCTGTCTGTGCTATCTGGGGCTGCTTAGTGATCATAAATGTATTGTTTTCATTTCTGCGCTATGGAAACACAGTGATTCACTCGGCAACTGTTTGATATATGAATATAATTCAGTAAAAAGAATGCTAGAACCATATAAGCACTGGCAAGAGCTTTCATTTGAGCTATAACTTGTACATGTGTCATATGAAAAATATGAAAATGAACCAATTTAAAACACCTAGCTCGGGTTATTCAAAATACTGTGTATTTAAGTGTAAATAACTTTTGTACAGTAGAATAAAAACCAAAGTGATGCATATGTGCATAAAATATAGTTTCCACAATTTCAAACGAAACCACTTACGTGGGTCTGGTGCAATTCTAGCCCTTTAAATCTTTAAGCGAAAGTCGATGATGTTTAATGACATATTCCTTTACAGAAAAACTAACAAAATCAACCATGAGTACATTTTTTGTTCACTGTATTTTGTTCAAAGTTTTTATTTAAGGGACGGATAATGTAAGTTTCTGGTGGAATGTCCCAAAGAATGTAGGTTACTATTAGGCTATAACCGGTCATAACCTATTACAGATTCTGAATCAGCCACATATACATTACAATTTAAATTTACATTACAAATTAATTTTGACAGCCCAACCATCCTTGCAAGCATCTCCTTACCTTGTGGTTTTGGATGCAGTGGCGGCCGTCGGCCTGAAACTCTTCCATTTACTCCAGTAAGGCTCTTATTGCTGAATCTGCATCCACGATTCAACTTCTGGTTGTGATGACGTTCCTCATCGGGACTGCTGCTGCCAACAGCTGTAAGACAGATTAGGGTTGTAAATAAATAAATAAATAAATTATTCAAACTTCATCTGAGAAGCAAGAACATATAAATACAGTAGTGTTCTGGTAAATATACTGAGCAGAAGTGAAATGCAAAAGGTCTGGTCTGATGCTATGAAATGAGTCAGACTGGTATAAATCTTGGCGTGAAACTAACAGTGACTTCAACTTGAAACACAAACTAAAAATATCCACAATCATTTGCGGAACCCACAGAGAGTTTCAGATTGTTCAGAAGATCAATATTCAATCTATGAGGAAGCATTTTTGTTCGCCCTTGATTAGGAAATGTTTCCTGAAAAACAGCGTAGACAAAAAAGACCCACACATATCTGTAGACAATGACAACTGACCTTGAAAGGTTCATATCTAAAAATAGCAAAGATCACTGTGTTGCACATGAAGAATTTAGTTGCGTTTTAGATGTGGAAAATAAGTGCATGAAAATGGTCTTGGTTCCCACGTTGGATGGGCAAAAATGTGATCTTTCCAAAACACCAAGATCAAAATATCAGCAGGCTATTTTTTACTGCAGTCAGACTAGTGATCTCAGAAAAAATAGCCAATCCTCTTGGGATAAGGGAGTGTTTTTAAAAAAAGTGTACATTCACATAGTTTTATTTTCTAATCAGGTTAGCACTGTCAACATGAAGTACTTTTGTTTTTTTCTGCTTCCATCATGTTTTGGTCACACTTTATTTTGATGGTCGGTTGTTGAATTTAAGTTGCATTGCATCTACATGCCAACTAATTGCCATTAGATTGGAAGTAGACTGTTACGTTGGGGTTAGGGTTGAAGTTAGGGTTGTGTTAGTTGACATGTACTTCCAGCGTTTCTCATAGTCAGTTAAATGTCTGTTGAAGGAGCAGTATTAACAGATATTAAGCAGACAGTATATTAACACTCTAATGGACCATCAAAATAAAGTTATGGTTAGAAAAAAAAAATATTTTTTTTTCAATTTAAAATATCACTTTGATTGGCTGACTGCAAAATAGTCTTTGGCAGGAATTTGAATGAAAGGGTTGAAAAATGAGAGGACCTCATGCAAAAAGTCATGCAAAAAAGAAAAGCTGTTCCAGAGGTGAAGCAAGCAGTTACATTTTAATGAAATGTTGATGTTAAGATATCATGTTAGTGTGAATTTCCTTTTCAGAATTCCCATTTTACTTCCATAATGTATTCTCTTACAAAGCAGGATTAAAAAAAATTCAGAGCAGGATTTGGTTGACTTGTTAGTGTTAGACATTACATACCAGAATAAGACCAGAACAAAAGCATGTTCGAAATTGAAAACACCTGTAAATCAAGAGCTGTAGGCCACTGTCATTCATTCATTCATTCATTCATTCATTCATTCATTCATTCATTCATTCATTCATTCATTCATTCATTCATACATTCATTCATTCATTCATTCATTCATTTTCCTTCAGCTTGGTCTCTATGTCAGAGGCTTCCACAGCGGAATAAACTGCCAACAATTTCAGCATATGTTTTACACAGCTGATACCCTTCCAGCCACAACTCAGTATTGGGAAACACCCATACACACTTATTCACACACACACACTGATACTCTACGGACAGTTTATCTGGTAACACTTTATTTTGATGTTCCATTTGAGTATTAGACTGTCTGCCTAATATGTTTATACTGACATTCAACAGTCCTTCAACAGATATTTAACTAACTATAAGAAACTTTGCAAGTACACGTCAATTTACACTAACCCTAACCCCAACATACGTCTACTTATAATCTGATAAGAATTAGTTGGCATGCAGATGCAATGTAACTTAAACTCAACAAACGAACCATCAAAATAAAGTGTGACCATTTAGGTTTGTCAATTTACCAATACCACTAAGGAGGAAACCGGAGCACCAGTAAAAAAAAAAAAAAAACACAGGGAGAACATGCAAGCTCCACACAAAAATGCCAACTGGCCCAGCTGGGACTCAAACCAGCGACCTTCTTGCTGTGAGACGACAGTGCTAATCATCGAGCCACTGTGCCACTTGGCCAACTGTTAAATTACCATTTTTTATAGTGTAGGAATTGATCTTGAATAACCGAAATAGACACATAGCAATTGTGGTTGCCATGTGAATGGACTTTGCTTCAACATGCAACATGAAAATAAAGCAAATACATAAAATGAGCTTTTAAAATGGCATTGCGTGCACAGTGAAGCCCCTGAAACACCATTTGAGTACTAAACAGTCATTTCACACAGTCAGTAACACCCACTAAAGGCTAAGTAGGTGCAATCCTGATTTAAATTCCTCTTTCGGGGTATTTTTCCTGTTTGAGCACTGCACATACTGTACTAGCTTTAAAATGGTGTCGAGGCCTGTTGACATCAACAGTTTCAATGCAAATCATAACTGTTTAGTGGCAAATCTAAAACTAAACAAAACAAATCATGCAAAACTGCCAAACTGTGAAAATATGTGCTGTTGAAACCAAGAATTCACACCGATGTACAGTCAGTGGGGGTAAAAAATTGTCAACACATCATTAATTTTCTCTAGGTAAATACTTACATATTTCTAAAGGTGCTGTTGACTTGAAATTTTCACTAGATGTTGGTAACAACCAAATAAATCAATATAGGCGAAGAAAACAAAACTAATTTGTTTACAAATTAAGTTATGTGCAATAAAATGAAATGACACAGGGAAAAAGTATTAAACACATGAAGAAAGGGAGGTGTAGAAAGGCAGTGAAAGCCCAGACAGCAGCTGAAATCTCTCAGTAGTTATTCAGCAACCCTCTGCCTTTCGTCACTGTAAATAAATATTCGCTGCTTCAGTCCAATATCAACATTATCAGCACAATGAAGATATTTCGGCAAGACAATGATCCACAGCCAAGGTAACTCTCAAATGCTTTCAGAGAAAGAAGCTGTAGAATGGCCCTGCCATTAGATGAGACCCACAGAACCATCAAGATTTTTACACTCTGTTAAAGTCTGTGAAACAATCACACCTGAGCAATGCATGTGACTTCATGTGAGAGGTGTTTTTAAGCTTCCATCATTAAAAAAAGCCTTTTATATAAAGTATTAAATACATTTCAGTAGTTCAGTACTTTCTCCTTGTGTCATTCTATTGTTATTACACATTTTTTTCAGACTTTTTTTTTGCTTTGTTACATTTTATATTTGTATAGTTTGGTTTTTACCAAATATGGTTCAATTCCATGTAAACAGCTCCTTTAGAATATTTTCCCCAGAAAAAATCCACAATTGCTGTCAATGTTTTTATCAAGATCCTGAAAGTGAAATTCTGAAAAACTTCTGAAAGTGATTACATTAATTCTGTTTTGTAGAAGACTTCCTTATTTTTGAAGAATGATTATAAAAAAACCTGTCTAATTACAGTTTTGTGAGAAAGCTCCTGGTGTATAGCCCATCGCATCCTCTACGCTTAATTAATTCTGGACAATTGATTATTCCCAGAATATCAAAATCAAATGTAGGCAGTCGATCTTTTATCTCTGGTACCTAAACTCTGGAACAGACTTCCTAGTACAGTTCGGGAAGCAGACACACTCTGTCAGTTTAAAACTAGATTAAAGACACATCTCTTTGCATTAGCATGCACATAAAACACAAATACTGTTAAAATCCAAATCCTCTTAAGGATTGCTAGTCTGCATTATTTAGGGCAACTGGAGCCGGGAACACTTCCCAAAAGACATTATCATTTGAACGGCATCTGTGCTCATGTTATTCTTTTTTTAATATTCCAGAGGTTTTCATAATCCTGGACCAGGCCGTATCCTGAGCAGTTGCTATGGTGGTCAAGAAGGAGTGGAGAGCATGAGACTGATCCCTGTAAGACCCCTTTGACAAACAAGTCTTCACATTGATCCTAAAGGGCCAGCCTGTACACCAGCCGGTGACCTACTCACACCTGCAGCTTCTCCACAATGAACAATCCAGCGTTCTCCAGCCTCCGCCGCCTAGACTGCAGCTCTGCAAAAGACGTTTGGCCATAGGAGAAATGGTCATGCCCAACTGAGCCAGGTTTCTGCAGAGGTTTTTTAATCCTTCACTTTCGCCAATTGGTGAAGTTTTTTCCTCACCACTGTTTACACTGGCTTGCATGGTTCGGGACTTGTGGAACTGCTTATCGATGGATTTTTTCTTCAGTAATTGGACTCTCAGCAGTAAATATTTAACCACACTGAACTGAACTAAACTGAACTTCAACACTGAAGACTGGACTGACACACTTCAATTTGCGATAATCTTCTACGTGAAGCTGCTTTGAAACAATTTACATTGCAAAAGCGCTAAAGAAATAAATATGAATTGAAAAGAGACTAGTCTAAATAAAAATAAAACATGCAGCAATTTCCCGAAAACCTCACTGACTCATAAGTGACGTTTCATTTTGACACCACAAATATAAAATACACAAATGCACAAAACATCATGTATTTTATGTTCGCGTACTCAAAACTGTTTGTGAAAGTGTAGAGCTCTTAATATGACGTTAAACCATCTTTTGCATGTTATGAAACTCTCTGTAAAGCCCCCATGCAAATGAAGGGCCTCCTGTTAAATTAAAGAATTGAAGAAGTTAATGCATTAGCGAGCACAAAGGGAGTCTTTCTACGGCATTTCCAGCTTCATTCGACCCCCTTTTCTTCATTGGAAACATCTTAGGCCAATAGGCTGCATGGGACTGTCCGTGTCCGAGGATGAATGATGCTGTTGTGCTGGCAGTAAATATACGGTCGCCGTGATGGGGTAAGGACCGCTTCATGTGGGACTGGCCCATTCATCTAAGTTTTGGCATAGTTTGTGGCCAAGACCGAAACAAGCTTTCTTTTATGGAATGGAGAATGCCTTGAAATGCTTACAATTTACCTCGTATGAGAATATTTGAGAGTTTAGAAGACCTGTGGCACATGATAATACACGGAGGTCTTATGAAGTGAAACAGAGCATTATTT